AACGAAAAAATAGAAAATAATATTATAAGTAAGAATGGCGTCTTGTGAAGGGGTCGCAGTTTAGATAGCTCGTAAACTCGTGATGAGCTTATGTTCAACTGAGGTGTTTACACACTGGCTTCTGTTAGCACTAAAATATATATTTACTTGGATGATGTACTTATTTATACTTACGGCTTATAACATTCTATTTTAAGGTCATACATTTAATTGTATTTTACCTTAATATTACATGAATTACGTTAAAAGAAAAAATTGTATTAATAAAGGGTAAAAGCTTTTAATTACGTGTATTTTCCGGACCCGAAAGGTGCCTCTATAATGAGTGAAGTGAATTTCTACGTCGATGTCATGCGCTTCACTTAGTTGTACTAGTATCATTTTTAAGTAACCCAGTACATACACAGATTTATAACTTGTTTACACCTTTTAAAACTTTAGCCTAAATATCATCTTCATTTCTTTTATTGGACTTGCCAAAGTTTATTTAGTTCTTACCCTCTTTTTTCATATAAAATCACACAGCACACATTTTTTATACAGGTAAAGTTTTATTTCATTTAATGAAATAGTTAACTGTTAGCGAAATTACTTTGTTTTGTTTTAATGATCCAACTTTGAAAAGCAATATCACCCACCGGTAGTTATATCAGACTCTAACCGACTAAAAACCGTACGCCATCTCAGGGAACCAGGTGTACCCTAGGAAGGAAATCCCTGGAACCCCGACTTTCCCCGGGTCATCTACGGCATGCACCCCCTCGTGTGTGGGAAAGACGGTGTTCCCGTTTTACGAACTAAAGACCCGGGAACAGGCCAGGTACCGCAGAAAACTCAGGCGCCGGAAGTCGCAAAACGATCCCCGTCCTCCATAGGCGTATTCCTGTTGTAACAGGTGAGGCCATCTTTCATCCTAGCAGAAGCAGGCCGGGTTGGGGGCGCTATTTGAGTGGCCTAAGCTAAGAAATGATTGCTTAACATTATCTTTGAACCCATTATGGTATACTCTATTAAATATAGGATTTAGCTAGTGAAACATTCGTATTGTCGTTTATCGTTATTATTATCTCAGAGTTTAAATTAAAAGCTTTTTAACATGTAAATGACAATCTGCTATGCTAAGGCTATGTTTTTAAATTTAGGAACAACAACACAAAACATATGGAAATATGTATATCTTCTTAATGAATGGTTTTATTGTTGGGTTATTTTAGACGTGACCATCTGAGTTGTGGAGTAGCTGTTTTACAAGTAACTTACAAGTTTATAAAGTTACTGTTCATTGTTAATTTTTTTAAGTAACAATTATAAGTTACATATTTAGATTTGCGAGAAAGTGTGGTGTTAAGCACTTCTTTCGTAGGTTTCTTGTTAAAAAATTCTGTGCGATAATCACATACCATCAGGTCTCCTTGTTTGCTCCTTACACCATTCAAAAATGCAATGATGTAAAAATAATTCTCAGCAACGTCAACAACCAACAAAGTTCATTCCAACTTCAACAACTCCCCATCAAATCAACTTTCACTGCGCATATTCAATCTATGTAATGAACAGTCTTTACAACACACTCTCTTTCAAAGAACGCTTGAAGCTTAGTCATAAAGCCCGGACGTCGTCAGTCGTCCCGATATAAAACCAAATGGCCCAATAATAATACGTACATATGACTATTGTCTTGTTTTGCGTCGCATATTTTTTATTGCGACTGTGTATCGCGTCGGCCGATTTATTTTTACAACTTTATGTAATGTCGCGCTGTCGTAAAATGTGGACGGGGACTTATTTATAGTGTAAATAGCGCATTGCTGATAGGTTGGTTACTGTCGAACTTTTGTACTTTGGAGTTTATTTGTTCTGGAATATTTTGATACCATTATTTGTATACGAAAGGCTTAAATAGTTAACTATATAAACTAAGCCTAGTAGGGACATAGATATTTATTTACTTGTAGTATAAAATATGTAATTATAATGGCGATACGATAAAAAAGTAAAAAAGACGAGACAATCCTCCTGGCTTCGTCCTCGGTGTTTAGGCTCAATCTTTTGGACTCGTCGAAAAGAATGGTATACAAAGACCTTAACTTGAAAGGTTTACTAGTAGACGCTGCATAGGTTTACTAGTAGACGCTGCAGAATTCCCTTATCCACCTTCTGGTTTCATTGTTATTATTATAGTATTGTCATCTTAACAACTTATTACTTACACATCATGCATTCCATCATCAGCCTTTAATAGTCCACTGCTAGACGTAGGCCTCTCCTTAGAAAGGAGGTTTTGGCCAGCGTGGTATAGTAATACCACGCTGGCGAAACGGGTTGATATAGGGTTTGTGTCCTTCTCCCTGCAGTGCTGTTGTCCTGCGTAGTTTGTTCCCTTAGTCGGTTCTTATGAAAACGAACCTGCTATAAATCTGACACAAACCCAGTGCCTGATATATTTACTAAGGTACCTATCATAATAAATTGAGACACCCCACAAGTGGGCGCCTGATCTCATAGGCTGAGCCTGTACTATGATAATCAAACTGCTGATAAACATACTTATAGTACTAAATACGTGTTATAGATATTGCATTCAGATTTTGAACAAACGATAGTATTTATTTGAACTAGATATGGATGGACCATACGCCTTTTGGTTTAGCAATCAAGATAACAAACCACTTAACCAAGATGACTGTCAATTAATAGCTGAGGTCTCGAACACTGAACTCGCACGGTTGTTACAAAGTAATTAACAATTTATCACCAATATTCGCCATTAAATAAAACAGTAAAGAAAGGAATTTATAATCTAATTAATGTTAGGCGAATTTCCTGACCTCGATTACCTTTATAAATCTCGTCTTTATATTAACTGTCTAAACAAATATTTACGAGCATACTTAGAACGTCACGCGGCGCCGTCCGCGCTAATGAACGCTAGTAGCACCATTAAAATGTCGTTACACGGTGTACAACAATAATCCCGTGTGATGTCAGGTTTTATTAATAGATGAAGCGGAAAGCGAATTGGTATTTTCATTTTAACAAAATCAAAATGAGAATTTAGCACATGGTCTGTGTTATGGTGAGGGATTAAGAATACGGAGTGTCACCACCCCAATTCATCCCGTGGGTGTCGTAAGAGACGACTAACGGAGAAAACTACGCAGGACAATAACACTGCAAAGAGAAGGAAAACTTGTCACAAACCCCATACCAACCCGTCTGGCCAGCAGTGTAGTAGGCCAAAACCTCTTTTCTAAGGAGAGGCATATGTAAAGTCCAGCAGTGGACTATTAAAGGCTGTTGATGAAGTGTTTCCAGAGACCATAGATCCGTATATAACAAGATGTGGTTTAGAATTTTGTTATACTGCACGGATGGCGTAGTGGTTTAAGCTGTCGCTACGCCGCTTCCTACAACGCTGAGTGACGTGGGTTCGAACCCCACAAGGCACGACACTTTGTGTGATCCACAAATTGTCGTTCAGAGTCTAGGTGTTCTTTGTGCCCGTTTCATGTATGTTTGTAAATTTGACGTGTTATCTATTAAAAGGGATGTCTATTAGAATTAATTAAAAGGTATATCTATTAAGGGCAAATCTATTAAATATCTATTAAAAGGGATGAGAGCATTAGTTAAAAAACCAATGCTCTCATCCCTTTTAATATATATATATATATATATATGATGTTTTTTTCTTTTAATTTTTGACTGTCGTCGCGCAATTTGTGAATTTCTAATTGTATGTCTGTTTTTCTATATGTATCAAAACTCCGAAACGTTTTAAATTTCTTTGATTGGACAGGTGACTCGTGTTCAATGTTCTACTCTCAAAAAAATCTGTTCAGGTATTTTGTGTTCTTATAATGGATTTTTATTATAGGGATATTTTCTTTATTCTAAAATGGCAATTAAGTGCAAGGCTCTACTAACGACTGGAGATTACTAACTTATGGAGAGCAAATGGCGTTTTCATGAAAAGCAGAAAACAACAACATTAGGATTGGAGCAACATCCTTCCGTTGTTTTTAAAAAAGCCTTTCGTATTTAATCTGGCGGCTTCAATTGCGGGCCTGGTGGTCTAGTGGTTAGTGACCCTGACTGCTAAACCGAAGGTCGTGGGTTCGATTCACACCCAGGACAAATATTGTGTGATGAGCACGGTCATTTGTTCCGTCTCTGGGTGTAATTTATGTACAATATGTATCTATTTAAAAATATATAAGTATATTTATTAGCAGTCTGGTTACCATAGTACAGGCTCTGCCTAGTTTGGGATCTGACGGCCGTGTGTGAAATGTGTGAGATATATTATAATTCGAGTAGTACTCCATTGTGCATATTCTTCCTAAAACATATTTTTATTGAAAGAATCTCACAGAAAGGCCGAAGGACGAAGGACTTATGTTAAAGGATGAGTTCCTTTCAGCAATAGACTGCCAATGATTATGGTCACTAGAGCAGTGTGATACAGAATTGTAAAAAGTGTTTATAGGAAACCGCTTACCTAGGAAATAGAAATGAAGGTTTTTGGGTAATAATTCCAATCACGTGTATACAAAAATGAACTTAAAATATATCCAATTAAGTGCCGTTGTTAACAAAACGGTAGAGCTAATTTGTACGTCCGTGATACCCTTATAATGACATCGACATCTGGTCCGAACAACCGAACCTCCAGCCCAATCGACAACCGTCCAACAGCCTAATCATGAAAACGTATTTATGACCTAATTAAACTCGTGTCTCACGCCTCTACCCTCAAACAACAAGGACAGAAACATACCCCAACGAACAGGAACGAGAGAGACCAACTCCCCAGACCAGTGATTAATGATCGTTATATGGCTGGTTAAGTACCGTGTAATTTGCAAAACGACCCTTAATTACTGTAGAACACAGCTACTATCGCCGTCTTTGTCTTTCTTGGGTTATTTGGGTGGGAGGGAGAGGGATAGGTAGTTAGTTCGTGATGCGACTTTAAAGGCGGTATTTAATGAGGCATTATGATGTCGACCGCGCAGATTAGGTCCACATGGAGACGAAAATTGTTTGGTGTTCTCTTTATATTTGGCTTTCCTGGCGAGCTGGTGAGCAAACATGCAATTTAGTGAACGTACAAATTTAGTCAACTTGTCTGCTTCTCTTTGACTTCAAATCTATTTGCTTAATGTTTTATAGAATACCGCTATTCAGCGGTAGCATCTGGATTATAAGATCATAAGTTTTAGTTTTCTTACGTATACTGGACTCAAACTCAAAATATCTTTATTTCATAAAAAATATGTTTGAAATCATCTTTTATTTAGACTAAAGTCATAGATCAACACACACAATAGCAACAATCTCTGTTTTGTCAAATATTTAGCAAAATATGTATAATAAAGTTATACCTATCGAAAATCTGTTACGTATATGCCTGTGCCGATCTACAACTGCCCGTTTCCAAGGGGTTCCAAACAAACCCAATGAAATATATTATATTTATGTAGAAATGTTATATTCACACGTGTCTCACAACATTTCCACGTTTTATATACTAAATAGATCCCACTAAAGTTATAGGAAGCAGGCATATTACCATAAACCGGGAACTTTGTGAATTAAGGATATATATAGCCAAAAAGGCAATCACACAACAGCCTTTAATGGTCGACTGCTAGACATAGGCCTCTTCTTAGAAAGGAGGTTTTAGCCTACTATATCACGCTGGCATAGGGTTTGTGTCAAGTTTGAAAAGGCAATAAAAGACAATATACGAGTAGTTTTGCTTATATGAATGGAGTCTCAGTAAGTCAGAGTAGGATATCTGTAACGGGAACTGGCTGTTGCCCGAACACCCAAACCCCCATACCAAACCAAAATAAAATCAATAATTTTAATGCAAATATACCTTTTATTTTTCCACTATGTATTTCAAGATATTTTTAAATATTTGTTTCATAACAATATTTAAACAGCTGATGTATCTATCTATTGCCTGTCTTCAGTTATTGTAACCTGTTCTCAGATACTTCACTACAATGGCAGACTTCGACAAAAGTATGCATTTAAACTAATCAATAATTTAATGTTGTCAACAGGTCTGGTTCCAAAACAGAAGAACAAAATGGCGGAAAAAGCATGCAGCTGAAATGGCGACCGCCAAACGTAAGCAGGAGGAACTCGGTGAGGAGTGCGACGATCAGGAACCTCACGACAACGACTGCAGTGATGAAGAGGAAGCGAAGAGGCCCAGGCTCGACATCCATCAGCACCTTCATCACCAACTGCCGCACAGGCAGTGATCACAGCCGGGCGAGCCCGCCCGCAGTGACCAAAGTGCTAAAGACTACTATTATCAAGAGTATAAATACAGGGAGGATGAAACCCCTTGCGATTTGTCCAATTGGCAGCTGAGAGGTGATGCCACCTCCGGTGATAGTGAACTGAACAGTGATAGCGTCAGTGTTGAAGATGAACAACCTATTAATTTTGCATATTATCACTTTTAGTCTAGTGTAAAGTTTACCTTAGGGGAATGTAGAATAAAATGGACCATCTGACAAATTTGTAAAGTGATTGAATGTAAATTTTAATAAGTCAGTTTCAATTCAAAATTAATATAACTTACTCTACAGTCAATATCTTTAAACATTTATGAGGTAAAGTGTCGATAGATAAGTGAACTTATGTAAAAAAAGTTATTTTAAATTAGCTTTATAATGTAAATATTTATCTAATAAGTAGTCATGTGATAAATTAAGTAATTTATTTATAACTTTAGATTTTACATGTACTTGGAGAGTTAATTCTGTAAATTGTATGGATCTTACCGGTGCCAATTTCCTAAAAGTAGTTATATTCGAATATAAAACGTAGTTATTCTTTTAAATTAATTTAAACAATAACATATACTATATGTATCTTCAAAATTTAAGGTTTAATGTACATTACAACATACTCGTACGGTAACGAGTATGTTTCGTTAAATATACCTACAGAACTACAGAAGCCAAGCAAATTATATTATAAATATTGAAGGATACAAAAGTAGCCATTTATCGCATATATTATATCTAAAAATAGTCAAATGTATCTTGCAAACGTCATATTTCAGTAGAATTGCGAAATATTCTCATATGTTTTTAATATCCGTATCGGAGGCGAATTGTAAATACTTTGAGTCACCGTCATATTCAATTAATATAACTTCTTGTGTTAGTATATACTGAGAGTTATTTTTCTATATCCTTAACAACAATAACAACTTTTATTCTTAATGAAAGGTGCCATATGTCCTTCTTGTACCCTTAATAACGTGTATGATGACGTAACAACGTTATATCGAGTAGTTAAGGTACGAAAGTGAAATAAACTAACTCAATTTGCCATAAAATACTGACAATTCGCCACTGACATGGATATTTTCCCCTATTATATATAATTAAAGGTATAACTTAATGCACATTCAAAAGAAAGCTTCAAAATACAATTTAAGTTACTTATATTTATTGAGTAGATATTTGCCGCTCCTACCGTTAGGGTCTGAGCACATTATGTACAGATTCTTTCAAGTAATTGTAAATAATATATTATGTAATCAGTTATGTCACTGTGGCATTGCAATATATTGTAAATTTTAATTATAAACAAAATGTAAATAGATATTTAAACGAATTTAACTTTTGTGACTATGATTACGTGTAGTGATGACCACGCAACAGTATTATGTGATACCGTTAATATGCACTGTTTTAGAACGAAAATAATCAGAATCTAACACTACTGGTGCCTGTTGTATTTTTGTTATTTTAAAAATACAACTGCACCAGGAATATAAATCCCGTGTTGTGAGAGACTTTACAAACATACATAAAACGGACACAAAGAAAATCCAGACTCAGAACAACAATTTGTAAATCACACAAAGTGTCGTCCCATGTGGGGATCGAACCCATAACACTTAGCGCTTAAACTAGTACACAATACATTTGATATTGACAACGATGATATCCGCACTAGTGAAAAAACTGTATAGCGGATATTAACGCCCTTTCCCAAAATATACAAGAAATTAAAATATAACCAAACTTAAAGCGAGAAACGTAAAAAAAGGAATAAAAAACAATGAATCTTAAAACCGAATCAAAAAATCTTCATCAAAATCTGGTTTTACTACACACCTACAGATAAAAACGAAGAAACGTTATAAAGCAGTGCAAAATTAATTTCAAATACACCTTTACACACTTAATGTAAGTTTTAAATAGAAAAAGAGCTTGTGTAACAAAATAAATCGCTTATATAAATGCACAAAGTACTACAAATGTCGGTGTTAAACGCTTGCAAGTATCGACCTAACGGGCTGCAACCAACATGTTTACATTTGAAATACAAATATTTAGTAGCACGCTCGAATTAACATTCAGTGGTATAAGACCATTACAAGTGTATACTGTGTAAGAATTAGAAACAAAATGTGTTTTTTCTTCTTGTTTATTTAACAAAAAAGCATTTTTCATAAGGATTTATAGAAAGAGAAAACCTGTGTTACTTTCATTTTAGTTTATTAATAGTTTGATTAACTAAGTTGAAGGGTTATTAAAAACTACAAACTTTAGTTCGTTAGCAGACTTTTTTTAAAGAAACAATAAAAATTTATTGTCCCTTTTTTAACATTTGTAAATGTCTATTATACAGAGTGTCCTAAAAATCAATGATTACTCTATCAGTGATCTTTCTATTAATGTGACCATAATTTGTGTGTTTTTTTGGTTGAATTACTTTTAATTATGTTCTAGTGAGCAAGCCTTTTTGAAAATGACAGTCAAATATTTATACTATAATAGTATCATTTAAAAAAAAAAGTTTTTTTTTGATAATGTTCTAAACACATTTACCACCTATTTTAATATCTAACTTCGGCTTGAAGTCGGTAATTAAGATACTCTGTATACAGTTACATTAGTTTAAATAAGATATATGTATAAATATTTTTAATACCACACAAAGTATCTCTCTGAAATGAATCCTAATAACCTACATAGTTTTATCCAATCTAATATTTTATTAGAAACAAAGCGCTAATTTTTGTGTTAAGAACGATTTTTTATTACGATTAAATGTTACTTTAGTGGCATTTGTATTTCAAATGAAACAGTAATGTAAACAGAAGAAACAATTATAATAAATAACCATGTATCGAGTTCAATAAGCGTGGAAAATCTACGAAATGTGGTTGAATTAAACAGTTAGTAAAAATTATATGAATTTCATTTTTAACACCTGTTCCTAAGCTAGCTCCATTATCTATGAATTGCCTAAAGTAGCCCTCTTCGCCTAACATCTGGATAGTCTCTTTTCTAGTAGAAAAGTGGCGTTAAGTGTTTTTTAATGCCTAACTAATACCACTGGGGGCAAAAAAAAAATAGTGGAGTTAGGAATTTCCATAGTAGAACACTTCTAAATGTGTATTTAGAGAACAAAAGCATGTTTTGTCTTAGTTAAAAGACGAAAATTATTAAAACATATGTATATATATATAAACACACACATTGTATTTTGAAACGAATTTAGAAAAGTTCTTCTTGACTGGCCTGATGGTCTAGTGGTTAGTGACCCTGACTGCTACGCCAGAGGTCGTCGGTTCGATTCCCACCCAGAACAAATAATTGAGTGATGAGCACGGTCATTTGTTCTGTGTCTGGGTGTACTTAATCTATAATATGTATGTATTTAGAAATATATAAGTATGTTTATCAGCAGTCTGGTTACCATAGCACAGGCTCTGCCTAGTTGGGGATCAGACCGCCGTGTGTGAGATGTGTGTGAAATATTAAATACTATTAACATCACTTGAAAAAGTCAAATGAACGGTATTTTATTTTAAAGATGCGTTACTTTGGTCACCCTACAGAATAGATTTGGACAAAATATGTGTATAGTTCTGCTTTGAACTAAATATCAGGATATATTATCAGGAAATATCAGGATATCAGGCAGACAAATAATGGCATATCTAGATTATGAAATAAATTCAGAAACATATATTCATGTATATACCTGAATAAAACCTTAAAAAAAAGGCAAAAACCTCCTTCCTAAGGAGAGGCCTGTGTCCAGCAGTGGACTATTAAAGGCTGTTGATGATGATGATGTATATACATGCATATTTACATAGAGCAGAAATGCTTAGCCGTACCAAGTAACCAGCCAATTGTAGGAGATAGCTTAATAATATAATTTACGTATTAATCTAATATGTATGTTATATTTATTGTCTTATGAAAATTGTCATAGTTATATAAATAATAATAATAATAATAATCTACAACATACACACAACGCCATCTAGTCCCAAACTAAGCAGAGCTTGTACTATGGGTACTAGACAACTGATATAAATACATAATATACTTTTTTTTTGTAAATACTTACATATTATACATAGAAACACCCAGACCAAATCAAACATTAAATGTTCATGCACACAAATGTTTGACTTGAGCGGGAATCGAACCCGCGACCTCTGGAATAGCAGTCCGTTACACAAACCACTACGCCATCCGGTCGTCAAATCGAATGATGAAATCGAAGACCAAACCTTCCACTTGTTAATAATATTATGTGACTTTCAGGTTATTAAAATACGATACATTACCGCTTATATCGTCATGACACTTTACTTAAAATTAGATTTAAAAATCAGGACATGCGTTAGCACTCATTAAAAAAAAGACACAAAAAAATCCAACCATTCTGTAGTGAATCTCTTAAGAGAATATTTTATAAAACTCTTTTAATAAAGCAATTGAAACGCCTTCAAGCATCTACAAATAAAAATTGCCATTTATATAAAATTCCCTGCCCACACAAAGAAATGGCATCTACCCTCAATTTTGAACCGTTTCAAATCTGTCAATAAAACATTGTTCACATCGGACGGTACGTTATCGAACGAATACCTATGTACCTCTAGGTACCTAATCGAAGGAGGCTCTGGCAAAAATCGAGACGCCACCCGTCACCATGGCAACCGACCAAGACATCCCACCCACCACAAACAACACAAAACTTTATTTTACGCATCTTACGGTAGATTTTTGAGTGAGCAACCTGCATGTTCTACTACTTGTACAGTCGCGAACACGACTTGTAGCCATAAATGTAAAACAGCGTTTAGTGGGTGCGAGCGAGAGATCGTAGGGGTGTTTGAGGGGGAAATGGGGGGTATTCTTTCATTTGTTGTGGCTCCGAAGCGATAAGGTGCCGTGTCTACCTTTTATTTATTACTCTATTTTAAAAT